TGTGATTCCTCGCCCCTCAAAAAAGATTAAAAGTCTCTCTAGATACTGTCTCACTTTTTCTCATGTAAATTATTCTCACCTAGACCCGACTATTCTTCCTTTGTTTCCTGCCTTAGTATCCACTCATTGGCCAACCCAGAATCTTCTTCATTGTCCTTCATATTCTATTAGTAACCAAATCTGGTTGTGACTATCTTTATATCTTTTTTATTGTTGACAGTATTACAGATGTCCCCTCTCCTCCCTACTCCTTTGCTCCCCTTCACCCAGCTCCCACCCCACCCCAGGCCTTCAGGACATTATTGTCTGTGTCCAAGGCTATGCATATATGCATATGTGTTCTTTGATTAATCTCTTCCTGTTTCCCCCACCCAACCTTCCCTCTGAGATCTGTCAGTCTCTTTCAAGCCTCCATGCCTCTGGACTTACTTTGTTCATCAGTTTATTTTGTTCATTAGATTCTACATATCAGTGAGATCTTGTGATATTTGTCTTTCTCTGACTAGCTTATTTTGCTTACAATAATAATCCTGGTCCATTCATGCTGTCACAAGGCTAAGAGATCCTTCTTTTTTACAGCTGCATAATATTCCATTTTGTAAGCGTTCCACAGCTTTTTTTATCCACTCATTTACTAATGGGCACTTGGGCTGTTTCTAGATCTTAGATATTGAAAGTAACGCTGCTATGAACATATGGGTGCATATATTCTTTCTGATGAGTGTTTCAGGTTTCTTAGGATATATTCCTAAAAATGGGATCACTGGATCAAATGGGAGTTCCATTTTTAACTTTTGGAGAAAATTCCATACTGTTCTCCACAGTGGCTGCACCAGTCTGCATTCTCACCAACAGTGTATTGGGATTCTCTTTCTCTACATTCTCACCAGCATTTGTTGTTTGTTGATTTATTGAGGAGGTATGAGGTGATACCTCAATATCATTTTTGTGGAGGTATGAGGTGATACCTCAATATCATTTTAATATGTATCTCTGATGATGAGTGATTTTTAGCATTTTTTTCATATATCTATTGGTCATCTGTATATCCTCTTTGGAGAAGTATCTATTCTGGTCCTTTTCCCATTTAAAAAATATTTTTATTGATTTCAGAGAGGGAGAGGAAGAGAGAGATAGAAACATCAATGATGAGAGGAGATCATTGATTGGCTGCCTCCTGCACATTGGACCGAGCCCGCAACCCAGGCATGTGCCCTTGACCAGAATCAAACCCAGGACCCTTCCATCTGCAGGCTGATGCTCCATCCACTGAGCCAAACTAACTAGGGCATTTTCCCCATTTTTTAATTGGATTGTCTTCCTTTTGTTGAGTTGTATGAGTAGATATGTATTTTGGAAATTAACCCCTTACCAGCTATATCATTAACAAATATGTTCTCCCTTCCAGTGGGTTCCCTTTTCATTTTGTAGATGGTTTCTTTTTCAGTGCAGAAACTTTTTAGTTTCATGTAATAGCATTTGTTTAATCTTTCCTTTGTTTCTTTTGCCCTGGGAGATGTATCTGCAAAAATACTGCTACGTGAGATGTCTGAGATTTTATTGCCCATGTTTTCTTCTAGGATTTTTATGGTTTCATGACTTGCACTTAGGTCTTTCATCTACCTTTATATCTTTTTAAAATATGTCTTTATTGATTCTAGAGAGAAAGGAAGAGGGAGAGTGATATAGAAACATCGATGTGAAAGCAACATCAATGGGCTGCCTCCTGCACATCCCCTATTGGGGATTGAGCCTGCAACTTGGCCATGTGCCCTGACCAGGAATTGAACTGGTGAACTCTTGGTGCATAAGTAGATCTTGCTCCCAGTCATATCCTCTCTTTAGTTTAAATAAACTCATAAATCTTCTCTACAGTTTGGATGTTTCTTACCTCAACAACTGTTTACAGTAAAGAGCCTGGTTTCTTCCTGCTGTTTGTAGTAAAAGATGAAATAATTAAATTGAGGAACTATTAAGTAAAAAGGAACCAGCACTTGGTGATTTGAAGAATACTCAGCCTATTTAGGTTGAAGAATATTTCTAAGTGTTTTTTTTTTTAATGCATTTTATTGATTTTTTACAGAGAGGAAGAGGGAGGGATAGAGATAAAAACATCGATGAGAGAGAAACATCGATCAGCTGCCTCCTGCAAACTCCCTCCCACCGGGACATGCCCACAACCAAGGCACATGGCTCCAACTGGAATCAAACTGAGACCCTTCAGTCCTCAGACCAACGCTCTATCCACTGAGCCAAACCAGTTCCGGCTTAAGTGTGTTTTTTGAAAAAAAGAGCCAAGAGTCTGACTGAACACCTTTTGCTGAAGACATTAGATGTGTGTATAATGGATCCAATCAATCCTCTCAGCAGAATCCAGGAATAGAAATGATGTTGTCCTGGAAATATCTGTGGAGAAGTCTCTTGTCTGATGGCATGGATCCCCTGGACATACATAGGAGACCCACACATTTTTTGAGAAAAATGTTATACAATCAAAATTGCTGCCAGTTTTCCTTGAAGGCAACAAAGGAGGGACAAAATGAAAGAAGGCTGTCAGACTTTTAGGATTCTACAGATAAGAAATAGAGTGATAGAACTACTTAGCTGCCAACATGTGACATACTTCAAGAAATACAAAGAATAACATAAAAAACTGAATTTGACAACATATTAATGAATATATGAATAAATGACTTCAAAAAAAGAGGGAAAGAATAACTCTGAGGACAAAGACACAGCTACAGAAGCAGAGTCCAGAGAGGGCAGGGCCTAGAGAACAAAGCATGATTATTGAGTATTAAATCCTAACATAATTTACCCTGCTTGGTTTCAAACTTGCGTGGGACCAATGACCTTTTAAATCCTTTTTATGTTATTTTTAGAATGAGAATGTATATCACATGCCTGTTTCACCGTTATATTTTGGAACAGAATTTTTGTTTTGTTTTTACAGTTCCACAGATAGAGACAAATTTTATATGCACATGGATCATAGCCAGAATTTCACCCATACCTGATTTAGATGAGACTTGGGACTTTTTGAGTTGATATTAAGATGAAATATTTTACTCAGAGTTGAGGTTAGAATTCATTAAGACTTTTAGTGATGGTGGGATGAGGTAAGTATATTTTTTACATGGGATTGATGTGACTTTGGGGGAGGAGGAGGAGGAGGAGAAGGAGAAGGAGGAAGAGCAAGAGTAGACTAGTGAACTTTAAAAGATATGACCATCCAGAACCTCAGAATGTGACCTTATTTGGAATAAAGTTATTTTCAGATAAAATTAAAGTAGTAGGGATCTCAAGATTAAATCACCCTGGATTAGAGGGGACTATAAATCCAATGATGGTTGATTTTATAAGAGACAGAAAGGAAAAGAAACAGAGACCCAGGTAAGAAAATCATGTGAAGATGGAGGAAGAGATGTTATGTTGATACAAGTCAGAAAACAGCAGGAGCAACCAGAAGCTAACATTGGCAAGAAATGACTCTCCTCTAGAGTTTTTATAGGACCATGGCACTGCTAGCACTGTGAATTTTGATTTCTGGCCTCCAAGGCAGTGAGAGAATAAATTTTTGGGGGGTGTGTGTGTGTGTGTGTGTGTGGTTTAATCCTCACCAGAGAATTTTTTTCCATTGCTTTTTAGAGAGTGGAGGGAAAGAGGGAGGGAAAGAAAGAGAAAAAGAGGGAGAGGGAAAGGAACAGGAAGAGGGAACAGGGAAGAGGGAACAGGGAGAGAGGAAGAGGGAAGAGGGAAGAGGGAGAGAGAGAGAAAAAGAGAGAGTGAGAGAGGGAGAGAGAGAGGGAGAGAGAGAATGTATCAATAATGTGAGAGACACACGTTGATTTGTTGCCTCCCCCACAGGCCCTGACTGAGGCTGGGAATTGAACCTGTAACCCAGGTATGTGCCCTTGATCAGAAATCAAACCCATGACCCTTTGGTGTGTGGGCCAATGCTCTAACCACTGAGAAACACAGGCCAGTGCAATTTCTGTTCTTTTAAGCCATCCACTTTGTGGTACTGTTATAGAAGATCTAAAAAAGTAATACAGCAATATAGTGCACATATTTTTCAAAAATACAACTATCAGGTTTCTTTCTTGTGCTAAAATTTGTCTCCATTTTATTTCAATGCTAGAGGCCCAATGCACAAAATTTGTGCAAGTCCTCGCAGCCCCTGCTTTGTTTGGAAGCTCGTATGGACAGTGGTTCTGCTATTTGGTCTAATTAGCATATTAGCTCTTTATTATATAGGATTCACAGTTCTGGCTAAGTAGGTAATTATGGTTGGATAGCTTTTCATAGGGCATTTCTACTGCTTTTAATAACAATTCTGCTTTAATATCAGTTCCCCTTTTCTCTACTGATTTCTTTATATATCAAAAATATTACTCCAATATCAGTCATAAATGATGACAATTTTTTCTTCTTAGGTTTTTACTGCTCTTTAATACAGTTTATCCCCAAGGGAATTATTTTTAAATTTGAATAGATTTGTATTGCTAAGAAGGTAAATACTGTTTTCTGCCTAAAAATGTTGGACTAATATACTAGGGGAGCCACCTCCCCCAGGTCTACCAGAGTAACAGAGCACACTAACTCAGAAGCCATATAACCTTGGGGACATACACAGCCTGGGTTGTAGAGGGATCCAGGATTTGAGTCTCTACCACATTGTTTTCCATGAACTCATTGGCCATCTTTGACTTTCCTCCTCTGTAGACCAATGAATGGATTTTGACTTGAATGGATTTCGCAGGGACATAACATGCAACATCAATCTTTATTAGGAAAAGAATCAGGGTTTCTGGAAGGGACAGATACATGAAACAACCAGCCCTTTGGGTGGATGAGTGTCATTTAAGCATTGACTTATTAGCTCCAACCAGACTTCCTGACTCAATAATAGGAATATAGTAAGACTGGAGGGAAAACATAACAAAGATGATGAGGATGAAGATGATGACACTCAAGGGGTTTTTGGTGAGGTTGTGTTCTTAGGATCCGGGATCAGCCTGTGGGATGGCCTCCTCTGAGATCTTGTACTTGTCCTGGAGGAAGTGTAGGGAGCGAGTTGGGAGACTAGTACAGCCAGCAGCCCAGAGTCTCATCCCCAGGCCATCCACCCTTCATTCACTTGGCCCAAATTCCCAGACCTCACCTTGTACAGAGTGAGCACCTGTTCAGCTCTCGTGTAGTCCCAGTGGTTATCATGAAGACACCTGGGGAGGAGGAAGGGCAGGAGACATCCATTAGGACAAAAGTGGAGTCAATCTGATAACCCCCTGCCATTTCATAAACTATGTGACAAATATGCCTTCACACTTATATATGCAACGAAATAAGCTCTATGTTGGAAAAATTCCTGAAATCCAAATGTGTCAATAAAAAAATGAGGTCCAAGAAATAAAGAATTCCATAAAGGAATACATACCTGTTAAAAACAACTGTGTTGTTTATACACAATGAGAGAGAAATGTTCAGAGGGACAGGTGAAATAAATGAGCAAAACAAATTACCTGCAAGTCTCTATTATTCACTCCTCTGCTCCTCCCAGCTCCATCCTATCCCCATGCACACCCAGCACTCACTTCTGAGACCACTGGAGGCTCATTCCAGACTTGGTGGAGAAAACTTGCACCATTTCTTGCTGCTCCTGGGAGAGGGTGGTCATGGAGCTGGTGGTGGGTGTAGGCACTTCTATGGGATGCATACTCTGAGTTGTGTTGGGGGTGGCGTCCCTCACAAACAGTTCATCATTCATGATGCAGAGACTGGAGAAAAATGGGCCCTCAGACAACTGATGGATAGACACCTCCACACTCATTATCCTGCTTCCACTGCCCCTCAGCGACCAGATTGCTCCCATACCCACCAGTATCTGCTCCCCAGATTGCTCTTTCTTCCCACCTCCCACCCCTTGGAGAGATTGCCTACCTGCTTCACTAGGTTTGTACCTCTAGCCCCATTGCATTTACTCAGTGAAACAGCCCAAGGGAGAGGACAGTTTAATCCCATTTTCAGAGGAAGACATAGGTCACAGAAAGGGTCATGTGATTTCACTCAGGTATAAATCTAAAAGTGAGTGTTGGTGCCATGAAGAGAACCTAAAAGAAACCTGAAACACTTTTAGTGTGCTAACTCCAGAGCGCACACTCTTAACCCCTCTGAGGGACTATTCCTTATATCAACCTGCTGGCTTCCCACAACACTGAGAAAACCCTGAGAATATGCACCGTCACATTGCCACAGCCATGAGCCCAGGTTGGGCTGTATGTCCCCACCCAGAGCATAACACTCACCTGGAATCGCTGGCAGGGGTAGTGATGAAAGTCCGGGTGAAGGCACGCACAGAGCCCTGAGACCTTCCTTCCACTTCAACAACAACAAACAACAATACCCCCTTGGAGTCACACATGCTTCACACACTCACTCAGCATTCCCAAGTCAGGGTGGGACTGCATACTCATGCCCAAGGAGACAACTGTTCACTGGGACTCAGGGTGTCAGGAATGAGGAGGGCAACATTAGGAGCAATCTCTTCCCACTAACATGGTTCCTACTATGTGCCAGGCCCCAGAACAACCACCTCACAAGTTCATTTAATTCATTGTTTTCAGCCATAGGTATTATTAGTCCCATTTCATAAATGAGGAAAATAAGAGGTTAAGTAATGGGCCCAAGTTCTTACAGTCAGGATCTGGGATGACAGCCATCAAACCCCATATCTGTGTTCCCAACTACCAAACTGTGCAGGGCTTATAGGAAGCTGGGAGAGTTCTGAGAGGGAGCCAAGCAAGGGGGAGGGAGCAGTGGACATCTGGATAGGGAACTCTATAGGCACTCACCTTCCTTGAACACCCCATTGACACAGAAGCAGAGCATCTTTTCCTAAAAGGGAGGAACACAGGTGCTCAGTCACCATCTACAGCTCCCACACACCTGTGTCTTTCTTGGCCTGTCCGAGGGAGGAAGCAGGTACTCACCGACTGGAACAACATGTCCACCACAAAGGAGCTCAGGTCATGCTGAGTTTTGGGCAACATACAGAGGGTGCATGTAATGTCACGTTTTGTATGTTTCAGCAGCTGAAAATGCAGGTCTGAAGGGGAAGAACAGCAAAGGTCAATGTTGCCACTCCCTGGGCCCTAATAGAGACCCTTCATGCCCCCTTTCCCTGCCCAATCTTCCCCACCCCACACGCACTGGGGTCCTTGAGGTTCTTCATATTCCTGTTATCCTTGAAGTACTCAAACAAGCTGCTTCTAGGAGAAAAAGAGGAATAGGGTATGGAGGTCTGGCCATGGGGGTGCTTCCAAGAGCTGATTGGTTTCTGCTGGAAACATCCCCCCCCAACAGAAAAAGAGTTTGAGCTGTGATACTCACGGGGCTGGGTCCTTGGGGTTGAAAGAAATGGTCAGGGAGAAGCAGGCCGTGTCATGGTAAGCACAGAGGAGACAGTGCCGGTCTCCAGAGTCATAGATAGAGTAATACCTGTGGTGGAGCAAAGGGAACAAGCTGCTTTGTTAACCAGGCCCCAAATGAGATGTGAGAGTCCCAAACAGCAGTCCCAGGTCCCCCAATTCCTGGTGTTTCCAGGATTACTTACTGCTGCAGAAATTGCAAGACTAGACTCTTCAGTGGGTCAGATCCAAAGAAACTTCCCTAAAATCACAACAGTCCTCAGGACCACGGCTGATACCCCATCTTCACTCACTACCTGAAACCCTGCTTGATTCCCCCTCCTCACCTTGCAGGATGGTACATTCTTGTGGGCTTCAATCTCAAAATTAGTTGGTGGGGGAGGCTCCTGGTCATCCTGGAGAAAAGGAAGTCAGCCTTTCAGACCAACAGATGGTACTGAATGATCAGGAAAAGGAAGGACCCAGGAGAGGGTGAAGGTCAGAAGTCAGGTGCAAAAGAGCCCTGGAAATTCCATGAGCAGGACTGCACTTGTACCATCATCATGGGGGCCCTGGAGCCTGTGGAGAACTTGTGTGAAGAAGGTCCAGAGCCTTTATCAGATTCCCACATGGATCAATCCACAGATGAGGATTAAGGGTCTGATACAAAAATGTAACTTGAGCCAGACCTAAAGGGGTCCAGAGCAGGTTGTGGGAAATGTCTGTGCCACTTAAAGGAGTCAGTCACAGAGAAATACACTTACCAGGCATAATAATTTGGGGAACAATTCCAGGATGGAGCTGCCAAAATAAAGACAAAACAGAAATGTAACTGAATCTGCAGAGCATCCCTGCCTTGCTGTAGCAAGCAAACCTACACCAGACATATAGCCCAGCTATACTCTAGTGTCACAGCCTTCCAGGGACCTGGAACCTTCCCCAAGAACTGATCCATAGGAAGAGTACTCGCCCTCCCTCCTGCCCTACTCCCACTCATTCTCCATTCTGCTAGGTAACTCCCTTCTAGATGCCCTGACTCCCTGCTCCAGTGACATAAAGAGCAGCATTTAGAGCTGCATACTTTTCCTGCACCTGCCACTGTTGGGCTCTGGGATCCCAGTTAGGAATGAAAAACTTGAACATGTTGAACTTGGATCCCATGGGATATTGGTTGAGTCTTTGTCACCTGTGAGAGTCTGAAGTGGGCATGGGAAACACAACAACCATAGGATCAGGAGACCTTCCCCAGAAGGAATAAAGAAAAGATCAGGCCCAGCTCAGCTTAGGGAGGGGGAATGTGTGGTCCCTTCTTATGATCACTGCCTTCTCTCCTCATGGACCACTATGCGCCTGTGCCTATCTTGGTTTCTGAGCAATCCTACCCGTGTCGGGCTACCCAGGGTTCCTCTGAAGGACCAAGCAGGAGATGTTGGTATGTGGAGGGAGGGGCACTGAGAGGACTGTCCTTCTGTATCCTCAACCCTTTGTGCCTTCTGCCTTCCACTTCTGCCTCCAGAGACTCTCTGCTCACTGGTGGTGGCTTACTTCTGGCCCCTTAACTCAGGGAAACCTGGTTTTTCTCAAGGAGAGCCCAACTCATGGCATTGTTCCAGAGGAACTAATGTCATAACAGCAGCCACCCAGCCCTTAACATAGGGCAGTAAACTTCCCATGTCTGCCTGACTTTGGAGAAGAGCCCCCTTTGGATCAAAGGAAAGAGGGCTATCTCAGGGCAGGGGAGGGTAGCTCTTCTCAGCACAGAATAGGAAGACCTGTCTCAACATGAGGACCTGTGTTGGAGGACCTTTCCCATCCCAGGTCACCAGCATCTGACCCAAGACTGGTCACCCCTAGTACTGGCGATGAGGGGATATCATGCTTCCTAGAGTACAATCTTAGGAGGGCATGCTGGATGTGTGATCCCCTCTTATGATCACTGCCTTTTCTCCTCATGGACCATTGTGCGCCTGTGATCCCATGATTACTTGCAAAGTCAAGAAACTGACCGTAGACCAGGAGAACAGGTGAGCAGATCAGAGGAAGGAAAGGATACCTCTAAGCACAGGTGAAGGACACAAAAAAGAGTGGAGGGTCTATGATACTCCCAGAAGATCTATTTGTTGCCTCTGCAAACATATACTATCAAGGGTAGGTCAGGCTCACCAGGGGTGGAAGAGGGTACAACTAACCTTACGTTGGTTGAATTATCTGGTAAGGTGGTGCATGAGGGGTTTCTTTTTGCATTCATGTCTTCTGGCTCCAGCTTTTTTCCCTGGTCCAATTCCTCTGCTGACTTCACCTGTGATTATGGGAAGGAACCACATAGACCAGAGAAAGAGAGCCAAGATGCCTGTAGCCCCAGTCCCTTCCTTTTCTAACAAATCCACCCCATGGGGTTCAGTGGCTCTGACTCTGAGGTAGTGAAGGGGGGCAAATGGTGGGGTACAAGAAGTGGGTTTGAATATGGATGCACAACTGATCTGGAGTCTGCATTACCTTTACCTGATCCTCCTTTTCTGACTTCAGCTCCTCCTGCACATCCTGGGGTGCATTAGAAGGGATGACAAAGATAGATATCTGCAGAGAACACAAGAGGGGCTGGGTAAGCACCAGGAAATCTGAGCCTTGGGATTAAGCAAGAACTTGCCCCTGTCCTGCCCTCTTGCCCCTAGCCAGTCCTAGTCATGCCTTTGACACGTACCTTCTCATTATTATTATCGTAAATCTTGCCACTAACATTCTTCAATGCAAAGGCAATACTGGCATTCTCAACGAAGAAGTGGGCCTGCATTTTCTCATAGTGAAACTATAGGGATAGTGACAAGAGAAACAGAATATGAGAACAGAGCCACTGCTCATCGGCCCTGTTACTTCTCATCCACCTTGCTGTCTTCTCTTACTTTGACTGGAGTAAAGGGGGTGCTGCATTGCTTCTGAATCAAATTCAGCAACCACTTCTCATCATATTTTATGCCGAATGGAACCTAGGAGCCAAAGAAAAGATAGGAGAGAAGATTGACATAATGGGATCTAAGGTTATAAATAAACCCAACCAGGTTTTCTTTTCAATTTTCTTTTCAGCCTTTAAAACAACTGTTTAAGATAGGATAGTATCCATTATTGCTAGCTTTTGTACCAGACATGAATTCCCTAAATACCATTCTTTCCATTCAAATAGATTTCCTCAAATAATCAAGTTAAAATGTTTAACATGTACTTCCTTTTATAAAGTTCTAAGAGATCCTACTTAAGGCAGACTTAGCCTGCATTTCTCACAAGAACCCCAGGGACAAAACATTCTACTGCATTCAGTTTGGGCCAAACCGTGTCTTCAGGTATGGAGTTGCTCCATCTCCTTAGCAGTAGTTTCCTCCTTTGCTTTTAGACTACCTGTCTCATCCTCCTTTGCAATCAGTCTGTTTTCTTTAAAAAAATATATTTTATTGACCTTTTACAGAGAGGAAGGGAGAGGGATAGAAAGCTAGAAACATTGATGAGAGAGAAACATCGATCAGCTGCCTCCTGTACACCCCCCACCAGGGATGTGCCCACAACCAAGGTACATGCCCTTGACCAGAATTGAACCCAGGACCCTTCAGTCTGCAGGCTGACGCTCTATCTACTGAGCCAAACCAGTTTCAGCAGTCTATTTTCTTTATAATGATTCTCTAAATCTGCCCTTATATGGCCTAGGATGTTAACTCCTACTAATAAAAAGACACATTGCCAACTCCTATGCCTCAGAAAGGTATTTAGCATTTCTACACGAATCTAACACAGCTCCCTTTGTTCACATTAGTTCCAGATTTCTAGGACACTCACTGTGATCTTGAACCAGCTTCCTGATATCTCATCCTGCTTCTTCTCCATTTTTGTCTTTGGAGGATTTTTCTCTCTTTCCTTGTTAATATGGGTTTGGACTTGTTCCTGAAAATGGCCTCTCCAATGAAAGCGTGGAATGGCATAGGGAGCACTGTGGGGCAGTGGAGAAAAAATAGTCCATATATACTCAGGAAGTCTTCTATACATGTTCACCCCCATTGATACCTCAGCTAAAATAAAGTTTTCTGAATGATTAACTTGATCTTATCATTACTCATTCTTCCTGGTTGGAGAGAAGAATGATATATTTAACTCCAAGGTTATATATTTCACTGGTCACTTACTATCTTACTCGGGTGTCCATGTGAGCATCAATTGTTGCTGAATCTCCATCTTGTTGCTTGTGGGATGAAGGATGAGTGCCAGAACTTACTTGTTCAGACACACTGTTATATCTCCTTCGGTAAATACCCCAACATCTTGGTCTTCTATCTGTGGTGTCACCATCTGGATTGTGCCCTGAAATCAAGAACAACACATCAGTGGTCTCAATACTAGAAAATGTCCTGGGGAGATATAACTAAGGGAGAAATATTATTGATTCTTATAATCTATACTAATAAAAGGGTAATATGCTAATAGACTGGGTCTACCAGACATCTTCCAGTCATCTGTTCCTCCTTCTGGAAAAAGTCACAGTGGCATGGGCAGAGACAGATTAGGGGCAATCAGGCTGGCAGGGGAGGGTGGCTGAGGGCAATCAGGCCGGCAGGGAAGGGTGACTGGGGGTGATCAGGCAGACGGCAGAGGTGGTTAGAGGCAATCAGGCAGCTGGGCAGGTGAGCAGTTAGGAGCCAGAAGTCCCAAATTGCAAGATGGATATCTGAGGGGTCCCGGATTGGAGAGGATGCAGGGCAGGCTGAGGGACTCCTCACCCGTGCATTGGCCTCTAGCCAATATATATATATATAGGCTAGAGGCCACTGGCTATATATATATATATATATATATATATATATATATATAGCCAGTGACCAGAATGCCATAATGACTGGGATGACTGGTCACTATTACATCCATTGTGGCCAGTGAGTGCCCAATCAGGGGTGGGGCCGGCCAGCCAACCTCCTGCAGCCCATCTTCTCAGCCAGCCCCGTCCCTGATGGCCCCCACCACCCACGGCCCCTCCCCCAGCCAGCTCTGCCCTCAATCTGCCCTCCCCACTCTGATCAGGGGCAGGGCTGGCTGGCCAACCACCCATGACCCTTCCCCCAAGCTGCTGGCTCCTGATAGGCCTCCACCCCATTTGGCCCATTGCCCACAGCTCCTCCCCCCAGCTGGCCCCACCCTCAATGGGCCCTCACCATTCCTATCAGCCCACAGCCCCTCACACAGCCATCTCCACCCCCAGTTACTCCCCGACACACCAATCGGGGGTGGGGCTGGCTGTCCAACCTCTCATGGCCCCTCCCCCAGCCTCATTTGGGAGCAAGGCCAGCTGGTCCTACCCCCAATCTGGGGTAGGGCCTGCTGGCTAATTGACCACAGCCCCTCTCTCCATCCAGCCTGGCCCTGATTGAGCCTGATCAGGGTGGCCTACCGGCCAACCTCCTGCCGTCGTCTCTTCCTCCTGAAAGGCCCAGCCCTGATCCACTGATTAGAGCTAGGCTGGCCAGACCCCACCCGTACACAAATTCATGCTCTGGGCCTCTAGTCTAAAATTAAATATATCACAGTGCTCAAAACATTGGAAGGGGAGAGGACAAAATGGTGGCAGAATAGACACTTGTGTTCTAAGCCTTGTCCTGGAGCAGATAGAATGAGCAGTTGAGATGAATAACATCCATCCTGAACTGGCAAAGGAGACAGCTGGTGAGACAATTTGCAGCCGGTAAGGGCATAGGACACCTGGAGAAGGGTAAAATCAAGGATCTGGGCAGGAGAGATCTGCCAGTCCTCTGAGCCCTGAGGGTCAGAGGGAAACCACACGGCACAAAGCCATGTCCCTGGGGACAGGCACAGTGTCTGACCGTGGAAAGGATGTCCACAGGACTGCTGAAGGCAGGGGATTCTAGATCTGGGTCCACAGTCACGGCAGACAGCCCAGAGGGGGCCTCCTGAAGGGCTGATCAGACCATGCAGTGACAGCAGGAGCTGAGCTCGCAGAGGAGCAGTCTTTCCCCTCCTTGTGGCCTGTGCTTTGCTTCACTGAACTTAGTTCTTAGTACCTTTCAGATACAGACACTCATCTGTGGCTGGGGTTCAGGAGGAGGTGTGGACTTGTGGAGTCTGGGAAGAGGCTGGGGAGAGAAGGGGATCCAGGAGAAGTGGCAGCGATTCTGGCACTGGTTCATGCCTGAGCCGGGCACCTGGGAAGCCATTTTGTCCTGAAGAGATAGCCCCTTCCTCCAGTCTCCAGGCAACCAATACAGCCACACCCAGATTCCCCCCTGAATGGTACAAAGGATTTAAAAAAATATAAATAGTCCCTGAGAGTCCAAAGGGACAGGCCTAAAGAGAGATCTTCACTACCAGTAAAGGAAACTGAGAAACAGTACAGTATAGAAGACTGGGATCTTAAGCCAACCAAAGGAATGACCACTTTTGCATTTTTACTGTTACTTTTTATTATTTTGTTCTCTCTTTTTTTCTTTTTTCCTTTCCTTTTTTAGTTTGTTACTTTATTTTCTATTTCTTTTCCCATTATTTCCCCATCATTCTATTTATTTGCTATTTTTTATTGTTATATATTTTAAAATCAATTTTTGTAAATTTATTATTATCATTATTATTATTTTCTTTTTGTTCCCTTTCTTCTTATCCACCCATTCCCTTTCTACTTTCACTACACTGAACTGAGTACCACCCCATATTCATCTGATTCTTAACCTTATTTTCTGTATATAAGCTCAGCCTCTACAGATTCTGCCCCCACTCTCTTTGCTGGGTGTTTGCATTTTTTTTGTTTATCTGTTTGTTCTGTGGTGTTTTCTCCTCTAGTATATATATATATACTAGAGGCCCAGTGCATGAAAATTCAGGCACTGGAAGGGGGTCCCTCAGCCTGGCCTGCCTCCTCTCACATTTCAGGAGTCCTCAGGGGCAGGAGATGAACCAGTGACTGGTGATCAGGGGAAGGTGATGACCCATCACACCTCTGCTGCTGCCACTGCTGGCAGTGCAAGGCTCAGCAGGCCCTGGTTACCTGAGCCTTGAGCAGCCCTGAGTGGCTGAGCAGCCACCTTTCAAGGCTTCCCTGTACCTTGGACCATCCCTGGGTGGTTGGGCAGCCGAAGCTTGCCTGTGTCTTGGACTGGGCCTGGGTGGCTGGGCAGCTGCCATCTGAGGCTTGCATGCACCTCCAGAAAACCTTGCACGGTGGGGCAGCCAACCCTGGGTGGCTGAGGCTTGCTTGTGCCTCGGGCATTAACTGGGCAGCTACCATCCAAGGCTCACCTATGCCTCGGGCCAGCCCTGGGCAGCTGGGGGGTTGAGGGGATTGGGGAACTCCAGAGATAGGCCCAGCCTTTCTGCATGCATGTTGCCCGATGGGGCTGAGGTGACTAGGTACCACCATCTTGTGGCTGTGGGTGCCAGCATCTTTGAGGGCAGGTTAGTCTATTAGCATATCCCCTCCTTATTGGCTGTGGGCACTGCTATCCTTGTGACAACATGAGGGTCAATTAGCATATTCCCTCTTTATTATATAGGATTCTCCTTTTACTTCCTTTTTCTTGTTTCTCTCATCTTTTTCTCTCTCCTCATGTATCATTTGTATTCTCTTTTTTCTCTCCTAATTCTCTTTTCTCAGGTGGTCACTTACATTGGGGTTACTGGTGTCATGAGTAGGACTTTCCTAAGGCAGAACTGACGGGGAACCAAAGCTGTCTGCGCCACCCAAGACTCTGCTCCATCCAAGCGGAACACAGAAGCCCTCCTAGCTGAGACACTGCTGATCCTCACAGCCAATTGGCTTGGAGATCAATGCTTCCTAGTAATACCAACAAACAAGACTTAGCAACAAGACTGCACACACAGCCCACAAAGGGCTGCACCAAGACTGTCCACCTCAGGTAACTGGGAAGGCTGTGCTACTGGGCTCTACCAGGACACCTAGCACACAAAACTATTCCATCAAATCACGGAAACAACTAAAATGCAGACAAGAGGCAGGACACAAAGGAAGGAAATGGAGGGTAGTAAAAGAATGGACATTGAGTTCAAAGCTACAGTTATAAGGTTTTTCAAGAATTTTCTAGAAAAGGCCGATAAAATAAATGAGACCTGTGAGGATATGTAAAGGGATCAACTAGAAATAAAGAATACATTGTCTGAAATAAAAATATTACACAGAGTCCTAAAAACAGACTGGAAGATTGTAAGAATCAAGTCAAAGATTTGGAACACAAAGAGCCAGAGGACACTCCTCCACAGAAGCAAGAAGACAAGAGAATCCAGAAAGTTGAAAATAATGTAAGAAATCTCTGGGACAATTTCAAGCGAACCAACATCAGAATTATGGGGGTCCCAGAAGAATATAGAGAGCAAGATACCAAAAGCCTATTGGAAGAAATAATGACTGAAAACTTCCCCCACCTGGGGAAAGAAATAGACTTACAAGTCCAGGAAGCGCACAGAACCCCAAACAAAAGAAATCCAAAGAGGACCGCACCAAGACACATCATAATTAAAATGCCAAGAGCAAAAGACAAAGAGAGCATATTAAAAGCAGCAAGAGAAAAGCAGGCAGTTACCTATCAAGGAGCACATACGACTGTCAGCTGACTTTTCGGCAGAAACCATGCAGGCCAGACAGGAATGGCAAGAAATATTCAAGGTGATGAATAGCTTGAACCTACAGCCCCAAATACTCTACCCAGCAAAGCTATCACTCAGAATTGAAGGCCAGATAAAGAGCTTCACACACACACACAAAAAAAGCCGGCACCGATTTGGCTCAGTGGATAGAGCATTGGCCTGCGGACTGAAAGGTCCCGGGTTCGGTTCCGGTCAAGGGCATGTACCTTGGTTGCAGGCACATCCTCAGT